GTAAGAAAGTTCTGGTCGTGTAACGGAGAGATAGACTAACCTTCCTACCAACCGTCGATATGGCTCTGGATCTGCAAGAAACGGGGCTTGAGAACGAGCCAAGTGATGATTTGGCTCCATCGGGGCACCCAACGGCCTGGCACCTAACAACCCTGCCTCAGTGATGATATCTAAGGCGTACTTTCGCTGGCAGAGAAAAATCCCAGATGTGCTCCTCGCCACCTCAATGCCAAGAAAGTATTTCAGTGTTCCCAAGTCCTTCATATGAAAACAATCTCCGAGATAAGCTTTGAACTTGCTTACCATCTCTGTATTATCTCCAGCAATAATCAAATCGTCAACATAAACCAAAACATGTATGACTCCTTTCTTTCCAACGAAAGAAAATAAGGAGTAATCAGCAACAGATTGGACAAACCCATAGCGTTTCAAGGCTCCAGACAACTTGGCAAACCAACACCTTGGAGCTTGCTTTAAGCCATACAAGACTTCTTGAGTTTGCACACCACATTAGACGAATTTGAGAAACCAGGTGGCAATCTCATATACACCTCATCCTGAAGATCTCCGTGTAGAAATGCATTGTGAACATCCATCTGATGCAATTCCCACCCCTTAACTGCTGCAATTGCTAAAAGCGTTCTCATAGTGGTCAACTTGACTACAGGAACAAATGTTTCTTTGTAGTCAAGTCCTTCAACCTGATGATTGCCAAGTATAACAAGTCTGGCCTTATATCTCTCCACACTTCAATCAGACTTGCGCTTGATCTTATATACCCATTTGCAACCAAGGGGCTTTTTATGGCGTGGAGGAGAGACAAGAGACCACGTCCCATTAGCCTCCAGTGCATCAATCTCTTCTCTCATAGCCTTCCTCCATCGTTCATCCTAGAATGCCTTCTTGAAACTCGTGGGCTCCACTTCAGCATCAAGTGCACTGAGAAAACACTTATGTTTCTGAGAAAACTTCTCATATGTGACATACGACGAGAGAGGATATTTGCATTTCTCCCCGACATATGGTCCAACCACATGGGTAACATAATCAGCAAGGCGTACATTTGGACGTTTCTCACGCTGACCACGTCCTAAGTTCTCCACCGCTGGCTGGGAAGGGGACGGTCGACTGCCGTCCGTGGAACGGTCCACGGGGTCGACCGTTTGGAGCTGTTCTGGATCGCTAACTTTCTGCCTCGGAGGCGGTCGACCGTCTTCCTCATCACGGTCGACCGTTTGATTATCTCCCAAAGAACCGTCATTCTGCCTCTCGAACGGTCGACCGTGGATATCAGGACGGTCCACCAGATCGACCGTTCGGTCATCTCCCAGGGATCCGTCATTCTGCCTCTCTGACGGTCGACCGTGGGCATCGGAACGGTCCATCAGGTCGACCGTCTGTAGCCGGTCAGCTCTGCTGCTTTCCTCCGGTCGACTGTCCCTCCTGGAACGGTCCATTTGTTCATCCGTCCGCAGTTCTTCATCTTCATCATAAGAGCTAACCTCATTTGTGGTTCCTGTATCAAGAGAAGCACCTATAGGAGTCAAGAAAGGGAAAATATCTTCACAAAGTACAACATCCCGGGACACCTTGATTTCCCCAGTGTCCGGGTAGTAAATACGCCATCCCTTCTTCCCTTGTGGATATCCAACAAATATTCCAGGATTGCTTCTTGGTGCAAATTTATCACCATTCCTTTTCAAGTTATGAGCATAGGATCTGCATCCAAAAACACGAATATGAGCCAAAGAGGGGGGCTTTTCATAAATCTTCTCGTATGGTGTGACCCCCCCTAGCAAAGACGACGGTGTGCGATTGATCAGATGTGCGGCGGTCTGTATACACTCTCCCCAGAACTCAATCGGAAGACCAGCCTGAAACCTCAAAGCCCGACCCACATTCAAAATGTGTCGGTGTTTGCGTTCTACTCTCCCATTCTGTTGTGGAGTAGACACGCAAGACGTCTCATGAATAATTCCTTGCTCCTGGAAATATTCATTTAGACATTCAAATTCTATGCCATTATCACTGCGAACACACTTTATTTTCTTCCCGAATTGTCGTTCTACCATAGCACAGAATTGTTTAAAAACAGTGCCAACCTTGCGTTTGGAATCAAGCAAATGTACCCAAACACCTCTTGAAAAATCATCCACAATAGTCAAGAACATTGTAGAACCATCAAGACTTGGAGTCCTATATGGTCCCCATAAATCACAGTGTATCATATCAAATTTATCAACAGATTGATAAAAACTTATAGGAAAACTCCCAC